GTGGCTGCTCCTCCCTGGAAGTGTTGAAGGCCAGGTTGGATGAGGCTTTGAGCAACCTGGTCTAGTGGAAGGTGTCCCTGTTGCTGGCAGGGGGGTTGGAACTGGATGAGCTTTAAGGTCCCTTCCCACCCAAACCAGTCTGTGATTCTATGATAAAAGAAGAAAAGAAAAGAATCATCAAGGTCTGGCTCCCCAGCGCAGGCGAACAGGGCTCTCTGCAGAGACGTCGTTGACGCTCAACAGGAAAACCATGGTGGGACAACCCCATCAGCTGCTGCAATGGAAAAAAGTAATCACCCAACAGACCTTCTCCGGTGCCTGTTTTTGTCGTCAGGTGCTGCAGACAGAGGCAAACCGTGTTAGCTAACTGTCACTGCAAAGTTTCGTGTGATCGTATCTAAATCGTGCGCTATTTTTCAGGGGTTTTGGGGTTTTTCCACTCCAGCAGCTGAAGGATGAACCAAAAGCCGTACCCAGCCCTACCAGTCTGATAGGGAAGATGCAACAGTGCAGAAGACTTTCCACCAAGGCTTGGTTTCAAGTTGAGGTGGTCAGATTTGGGGTCACTCACACCACTTTTAACCAGTTCTCCCATTTCTCCCTACATCCAGCTCCAGCCACAATCAGCCGGGCTCTGCCCTTAATAACCGCACGGCATTTGAACCGTCGCTGTCTTCATTTTAATAAACACAAGGAAAAGTGAGAAATCTGCACTAAACAATTACATCTACGCTTAAATCTTTATTATTTTCCCTTCCTTATTGTGCTGCCAGCAGAGAGATTTCTTAGGTCAGGTCAGCAGACAAAAGAAACAGAAATAGAAGCTGATTTTTCATGGCAAGCTGCCACGATCCTCCGGCCGGAGACATCACGCTGTACAAAAGGCCTTGGGGTGAGGAGGATACAGGACACCTTCCTCTTTCACCCCCTGCTTCGGCACAAACAGCTATAAATCTTCCAAACCTCGCAAAGAAAACGGTAATTATACTGTTATCCCCAGCACCAGCTTGGGGTTATTTGCTTTTCCCCTGGTTTTTCTTTTTGGCAGGGCAGAGAGGAGACTCCAAGCACTACTGACCAGTCCTAAACTATCAGATAACCCAGAAAATGTTGGGGTTTTGGGGGTTTTGGGTTGGGTTTGTTTGTTGGTTTGTTTTTTGTTTTTTTTTTTCAAATAAATTGAAAATGGGATAGTTTAATAGTCAAGGGTATAATTAAAGGACTGGGGAAAGCGTTATTGAGGAAAACCAGCTGATTTTCTGTTCAATTTTTTAAGACTAAGATTCACATCCTGAGCACGTTGATAACGATAATTGCAGTGGAGCCATTAATACTGCTGCAGTTAAGCATGTATTAATTTCCTTACATTACAAACCTCAACTCGCTTTACCCCGAGGCAATAATTTGTTCCAGGATAAAACCCACCATGAGAACCTTTCGGTTCATAAGTGAGTTGCCTCGCTGGAAAACTCTCCTTTGCCTATTGGAAAAATGATGGGAGAATATTTCCAAGCAGAGCATGATGTAAGTGTGGCACGAGGAACTCGTCCCCTGGCTAATAAGAGTCCTCAGATAAAATAGCATCTTACTTTTGGATTTTAACTTAAAACTGCAAAACTAAGCACTTGAAATTACTTGATGAGCACGTCCAGCAAATTTCTTTTGAGATGTTTTGATCTGCAAATTTGCATTTCCAGGGTGAGGCAACAAAAAGTGAATTTTCTGGCATCTCTTTGGTTGTGAAATAGCTTTCCAGCTCCCAACACACAGCGGGTTGTTATCGGCAGCTTGGGGAGGACTGAATTTCTCAGCCTGCCCTCTCTGGCCGCAGCAGCAGGAGCTTGAGCCCTCCTGCAAACCACGCACGCATGGAGCAGCAAGAAATTCAGGTTACAGTTGCAAGCTCCCAGGCCGCCCAGCCTCAGGGGAACCCAAACCCAAACTATTTCTGCTTTCCAGAGCCAGGCTGTGACACTCAGCTTGGATTCAGCCCTGGAAAGAGCGATCTGAGCCTCAGCTCTGCATTGTCCTCCCGCCTGCCCACCACCCTGCCCCGCTTCCTGCACAGTCTGGTGGTAGAGCTGCTGATCCCAGTTGTTGATCCCAGGGTAGGGGAAGCTGCCCTGCCAGGGATGCTCTGGGATGGAGATGTTGGGTGTCAAACAGCGGGAGCACTCTTGGCACAAGGTTAGTGCCTCGCTGGCACGCACCAGCGGGACTCGCTGGGCTGGGCAAGTGGCAACAAGCCCCGGCACGTCCCGGGCTCTGGCTGCTGGTTTATTTTTCATCTGGTTTATTTTTCTCCCTCTCTCCTATTTTCAGACACAAACCAGAAGCCGCCTGTGTGCGAGCAGGGCTCAACCCACCCTGGGACCATTGATGAATGCTCAAACGCCAGCAGCACCACCACCTATTCCTAAATTTCTTTTGGGCAAAACCAAGACATTAATTTTTTAGAGTGAACAAAGAATCAGAGAATCGTAGTGCTTGGAAAAGACCTTTAAAATCATTGAGTCCAACCATAAACCCAACACCACCAATGCCACCTCTAAGCAGCTTGTCCACCTGTCTTTTAAATACCACCAGGGAAGGTGACTCCACCACTGCCCTGGGCAGCCTGTTCCAATGTCTGACCATTCTTTTGGAGAATAAATTTTTCCTCAGATCCAATCTAAACCTCCCCTGGAACAACTTAAGGCCATTTCCTCTTGTCTTGTCACTTGGTCCTTGGTTGAACAGACCCACCCCCACCTCTCTCCACCCTCCTTTCAGGGACTTGGACAGAGCCACAAGGTCTCCCCTCAGCCTCCTTTTCTCCAGGCTCAACACCCTCAGTTCCCTCAGCCACAAGGGAACTCAGCACACTTGTGCTCCAGACCCTTCCCCAGCTCCGTTGCCCTTCTCTGGACACGCTCCAGTATGTCAACGTCTTTCCTGTAGTGAGGGGCAACACGAACCCTTACAACATCCATCTGTTCTCCCAAGCAACCTTCACCGCATCAAACAAGCCCAGTGGTCTGGGACACGAGGCACTCATGAGCTGAAGTCATGTCCCAAAATCAAGGAGAAAGGTGTGGTCCTCCAAACGTTCCCAAGAACTTTGCACAGCCTCATGCCGAATGGAATCCATCCTCAGAGTATCACAGCCAGGTTTCCAAACGCTGAGCTCCAGGTTTTGCAGGAGCAATGCATGGACACACCAGGCACCTTGCAACTTCAGGATGGTCGCAGGCTTTCCGACCGACTGCTGTGCTCCTCTGGTGACACAGAGTAAATTGTAATGACCACGTTCATAACCACAGAGAAGGGTGTAAAACCAAAATGCTGACACAACTTGAACTACAGCGACACAAATGTGCTGCTATAATATTTTTACAGTTCCTTTTTATACATAATGCATGATCCTTCTGCTCAAGTTTCCTCTACGTTCTTTTCCCGTGAAATAATTTACATTAATACATAATTTATTACGGCAACTTGTAAAGCAATTATGGGTTTCAATCAATTTTTCTTCTCCTTTTTGGCAGATAAATTCTGTTTGGATCCTAACCCAAACATTTCTCTTCACATGGGTGTACATCCAATTCTTTTTTTTTTTTTTCCCTATGTTGTTCAAGTTGAATTTTGGTCTCCTGGTCTCCGTGCACAGGGGAAAAGGCAGCCTGCATTTTCCACTGCCCCTTGTTTATGTTCTAGAGATGATTTCTAAATGTGGAACAAATTTAATGGTCATAATTAGCTGATGGCAGAGCCATAGAATCTTCTCATTGCAGAAATAAGATTAAAATACGATGCGTGGAGCTATGCTTCAATGGGAAATGAAAACAACAGCCCCCAAACCTACCGCTGGAGAATCAACACACCAGCAGGCTGTGGGCTCCTCGTGCCAAGAGCCTGCATGGGGGAGGGAAATTCTCCATCTCGATGGAGAAACGTGCCCTGCTCTTCAACACACCCTCTGCCAAGGTCTCTCCGCTCCAGCTACGCCTCGTGGGCTTTCCCCATGTGGCTTTTTCTCTTTGCAGATTGATTGTGCTTGACCACGCACCAAGATGCTGTTCCACGCTGATGGTTTTCCAAAAAACCCCAAAATCCTGCTTTCAGGTTGCGATTGAGGGGGCATCACCCCACAGTTGGCCCTTCTTCTGGCTTCCTGGCTTTCCTCCATCACCCGTGCAGGGTGAAAGGCCACTTGCAGGGAAGAGGTGTGCCATGGTGACACCCAAGGCTGCAACCCCTCCGGCACGCTTGCCTCTTGGACCAGTGGCATTGCCAAACCGCGCCGGTGGAGGAGCGTGTTGATGGACAGACAGACGAGCTGACCTGTGGGCTTCCTCCATCACCCTGCTCTGCTGCAGCACTCAACGAGGACAAGTTCTGGAGGTGCTTTCCAAGGGAAAAAGTAAATGATGGTTGCTTTATAAAATGCATTTCACAGAGGATGGATGCAGGATCCATCCCAACGGGCTCAAATCCATCCTCCTCCTCCCTTTCACAAGCAGGGCTGGGCACACAATGCCCACCACACCAGGACTCTGAGCCTGCAGCTCACAATCTCCTTGTCACAGCCTCAATAAAACCTCCTCTGCAGCTTGCCTCAAAGAGAATTTCTTGCTTACACAGAAAACACGAGGCCGTGGCTGTCGGTGTGCACTCGCCGAGTCTCTCTTATAAGGCTGGACTAGTGCAACCTCTGGTTTTATTGATTTAGATGTTGAGGGATGCTTATACCCCTGCTAGGGAAAGGTCAGGTGGTGCTGACAACACTCTGGTAAAATACTGTAAATATTTTTCTGTCATCCACCCAAAGACTGAAACATTTCAATATAGGGAGCAAAAAGTAATGCCCCAACTTTCTAATATGCCACCTTCTTTCTCTAGCACAGTCACTGCTATTTTCACTGGGGATATGAGATGGAGACTGCAGGGGAAGGAAAAGGAAAAAGGGAGAAAAAAGCTCTATCCAACAACAGGACAATTCTTCTACTCTCAAGTGTTTCAAGGACCCATCAAGGAGAAGGGAAAAATATAAATGGCTGAATTCATAGTTGTAGGCATTTCACTTTTAATCTTCCTTCCAGCAAAGGGCTATATAAAGATAAAACCCAAACTTTTTAGTAATATTATCATCACCCTGGAGGAGTATTTTTTATAAATCTAAAAATTAAAGATCATTTAGGTGACCCTGAGAAGTGCATCTAACATTGCATCATCTGACATATCGAGTCTTTGATAATTTTTACTCATTTCTTGGGTTATATTATAATCCATAATCTATTTTCAGATTCTTGTGGTGTTCAGTACCTTACAAAGTATCTACATCTAAGATGCGTGGGCTTCAGTTTACTCTTTTTCCCCACATTATGCCACCATGGGTAAGCAGGACCCCAACCCTACCATCTTGGGCCAGCTGGGTTTCTTGGTCATGGTGCATTACAAACTTCTTGGGGCTTTGACCCAAATTCCTTCCCCTTCCTGGAGATAAATGCTCCTGAGCCGATGTCTGTGAGAAACTCCAAGGTTTGGGTGATGCTCTCCCTGGCAGCTTACCAAGGCTGGGTTTCTCTCTGTCCCATGGCCATGAGGACCAGCCATGAGCTGCCTTCCTGCCCGAACCTGCCCTCACCCCCAAAGGCAACCGGGAAGACCCCGTTTTAAGTTCCTCAGCCTCTTCTGGCTACAAACCCAGAAAATTCAGCCAATGTCTCTCCATTCACCCAACATCATACATGAGACTATGAGTCTTTGCCTCCTGTTGGCTGCGCTGCCAGTCCAAACTTCACTGTGTTCATTTATCTCGGTGTTTTCCACCAACAGGGACTTGGCCCTTTGACCTGAAATATTCCCTCAGTTTTGCATTCGGTGCCGTTATGACCATGGGACTCATTTCAAAAGTCAAGCAAGTTTTGACACTGTCTGTCATCGTGGCCCACACTTGGGAAAGATGCCTAAAATTAAACCCAAGCCAATCAATGCTCTTGCGTGCTGGGGTCAAGGAGGTGACATTCAGTTCCCTTGGAAAGAGGATAATTTGGCAGCCAAGGAAGACCAGCTTTGTAAAAGCTCTCAAAGACAAGCTGCTTTTCAATTAGGCATAAACTCTTCATATCTGTTGGAGAGCCTGCCAGTGCCACAGCGCAAGACAAAACCATCTGATGGGGTTTCTTTGTTCCTCACTCATGTTTGACAGGCAGGAGAAAGGGAACGGGCTGTTTTTACCCCTTCTTGACTTTGAAGCTTGTGATGTTCATTTGAAAAAATCCAAATGCTTTCCATCTTCCCCCACCTCTCCAATGACTGGAGTTATCAGAGAGCTTGGGAAATATCTCCTGTCAATGCCTGTGCTCGGCTCCCATTAACGCTAATGAGAGTTGTGTCCATGAAGAAAAGGAACAGCCTCTTTGTCTGTGAAGTGTTGGCTTTCATAGCAAGTAGCTTGGCTCAAACTTGACGTACAATTTTAATTGGCTTTCGAGACTTTGCCTAGTGACAAAACCCTACAAACAGCACAATATAACAGCACATCCTCCAGAACTACCAGTTTTTCAGGATCATTGACCAAGGCACCAATCCCCCATCAATTTTGGTGGCTGTTTAGCATAAAAATTGATAGCAAGCACTGACATAAAAGGTGTCAAACATCCTACACCACGGTTATTGTCAAAGGTAAAATTAAGACATTTTCCTTATCGTTTGAGGCCTGTCCAAATACTGTTGTCAAGTGGTAGAACATTTTAGTGATAATACTGACATGTGCGTTGTGCCAGTGGAGAGCCACAGTCATGGGCTGGACACTCAAACACAACTGCAGACCCAAAATGCTTATGATCTCAACTGAACAAATTACTCAAAAAACTAAGAAGACATGTCAAAGGACTGAGGAGGGGGAAGGAGATAAGCAATTCACTCAGTAATGGCAACGGGGAAGGACAACCAGTTCTGGGAAGGAGAGTGGCATGGGCATGATGGCCACCACTAGTGGGTGGTGGGGTGGGTGCCCCTCTGTCCCCACTACATCGGGCAGGCAGGTGGATTCCCACTTTGGGGTCTGCAGGGGAGCACTTTTTCATGGAATTATTGAATGGTTTGGGTTGAAGGGACCTTTAAAGGTCATCTAGTCCAACCCCCCTGCAGTGAGCAGGGACACCTTCAACCACATCAGGTTGCTCAGAGCCCCATCCAACCTGGCCTTGAATGTTTCCAGGGATGGGGCTCCTACCCCCTCTCTGGGCAACCTGGGCCAGGGTTTCATCACCCTCAGCGTAAACAATTTCTTCCTTACACCTAGCGTAAATCTCCTCTCTTTTAGTTTAAGACAATTTCCCCTTGTCTTATCGCAAAAGTTCCTGCTAAAAAAGTTGGTTCCCAGTCAGGACATCTTCCCACCCATCACTGTAAGGAAGTGGGAGCAGGGGTGGAGTAAATACAGACAGAAGTTTCTGTGTACTTACCCATCACGCCACAAGAGAAGAGGGTAGGTCCTTGACTCATCTTTGGAGTGTGCTGCAAACAACCAGAAAAACTATTCACTTCTTGCAGACTCGACTGGGGAACCAGAAACCACCTTGTCTCCAGCCTCGGCAATGAGGAGAGACTCAGGTGGCCGCGACTGTCCCGTTTCAGTAGGGACTGGTGGACAGACCCCATCATCTTCCCTTAGGGGAAATAAAATTCAATTCAAAGCTGCAGAGAGTCAGTGTCGAGGTCAGAGCTTGCAAATCATGGCTCCTGCACATAGTCCTTACCCACGGGAATAGCCACAGCCAGGTCCTCAGCTCCAGGATCCAAAGCACTGGAGAAACTAAACTGGGAGCTGCAATTCGGAGGTAATTCTGGACTGGGCAAGAAAGCAGCAGCAGTGGTGGTGTCTGAACCCCATCCAAGCTCATTAAGGTCTCCCATCTAGGTAGAAAGTGACTATTTAGGGTTTTTTAAACATAGAGTGTGTTTCTAAGGCAAGACACCCTCAACCCCAGCACTTCTGGGGAGTCTGCGTTGGGATTGTGTCAATTTGCACTAAAAATAGGGAAAAATGCCACTATATGAGTACAAAATAATCCTGGGTGCTTTTTACACTCTTTGTTCCCAAGAATTTTCCTCTTGACTGCATAAGAGACATCATCACATTTCTAAAAATGGGCATGGACAGCTTTATATACAATAAATCAATATGTCATCTGCAGCTACATGCCATTTCAGCTATGTCTGCAAAAACACACTTTCATACTAATTGTTCTTTTATTATCCCCCAAAATATCCATATTCTGCTTCTGAAGTGTCTTTCCTGGCAACTCCATCCCATCTGACTGAGGCATTGCATCATCTGAGGGAAGCACCAACATGACCTCCTGGTTCATCTGTGCTGCTGTAGCTGTGTTTTATCTGGTCTTAGGCCACCACATTCACATCTTGGCTCCTGATCCATGTTTTACACGTTGCCTACTCACATAATAATAATGCTACCAAATGCTGGCACCTGCCTGTACAGAGCATCCAACAAAAGGATCCCACTTCATATATAGAATATTGTAAATATTGAATATAGAAGGATGTGGAGGCAGAAAACAATGATGGGGTGCAGATGTGGAGAAGGCAGATAAGGGTTGAACACCTTCTTTGGAGCATGTGCCACTTTTCTAGATGAAATCAGGCTGTTTCTATCTGTCAAGCCCCACCTTATGAAGCAGCAGGTAGAATTAATGAGGAGACAGTGAGGATGGGCAGCTGTCTCCAAAGAGTGGCCAAAGTGGAGCAGCGATGGAAGTGAGACAAGCGCTAGAGAAGGCAGCAGTTGTGCCAGCATCCATCTCTGTGCCAGCCCCAAAGACCAGCTACTGCCTACAAATGTGGGAGGGGGAGGAACATCTTTAGATGACCTACATCTCATACTGAGTATAACCATCATTTTGTAAGAGTTTTGTTTTAACACCAAAGTGGGAATTGAACCAAATGAGTCCATCAGGTGTTGGTAGGTGATACTGTCCCACTGCTCAGATATTTATTTCCTTTAGCTTTTATTTTATGGCTTTTCCCATGAAGTCAACAGCAAAACTCATGCTTTCTTTGGTGGATCAGTCTTCTTGTGAATATCTGCCCCAATTTAATAGCCCGGACAACCCAGCAATTCAACTTGTGTAACCAGGACTACCATTGCGCTATCGACCCAGCCCCAGAGCTGCGGGAGGCACTTGGCAAACACACGAGGGCAAAGTTTCTCTTGTCGGCCACCGCACAGCCTGAGTGCCCGTCCCTTCCCGTAGTAGAAGGAGCTATTTCTCATCTGCTTCTCTGCAGCAAGTTCTTCTCCACCTGCCCCACACACCTCCCTGGACACAGCCGGTGTTGGATGCCCAAGCTACCCCCTTGCCACCACCATGGGAGATGCTGCCTTCCCAGCAGGAGCTGACACTAAAGCAAGGATGTTTTTCTAATATATCAATATCCTTCCTTCCCAAATATCACCTTTTTAAGGCAGGATTTAACGCTGCCTCTGGCTTAGTCGCCTTCTCCTCTGCCACACACTACCAGGGCAGCCTGCCTTCACCCCAGCACGCTGCGCTATCTGCCCAAGAAGCCCAGCTGGACAGTTTGACATCCTCAAACTTTGGCATTTATATTTCTTTTATACTCAAAATGCCCATTTATGGCTAACCCTGCCAGATGCTTCCTGCCATGTTCCTGCACACCCTTATCTGAGGCTCTCAGTGTGCCCTGCCAGGAACAGCCTTTCGGTCTAATTTCTTCTCAGACTATGACCATAGTGGTCATGGGCAGAGGAGCAAACATCCACCACCAGCCTTGCTCTGGGCTTCTTCAGATGGCTCTCCATCATCCCACACCTCCTCATCCTGCCCCCACCCTTGCTTGCTCTGACACTGTCCCCAAACTACCCCTCATCCCTCATTTCCCACCACTGTAGGAACGCTCAGCCCCACAGCCTTGCTCACCCCATTTCGGCTGTTTGCTGCCCCTAATTTGGGTTTTTTTGTTGCCTGCTCATTCAATGTGGTTGGATTTATATCTCTCCAGGCTGCCAGTGAGACTGTTAAGAACCACAGCACTGCCCTTCACCATCTCCCACTTAATCCTGCTCCCTACTTGCTCATCCTCCTATTAATGATGAGCATCTGTTCCCTACTGGTGAAGCAACTTCTCGCCTGTGTTATTCATGGCGTTGATTTTATTTTTTCCTACTGTTTAATCCATTGCATGCTTACTGAAATGCACATATGCAAAAGCCACAGCACCCCAATCATTCACTAATCACCTGTTCCTTGGATATTAACACAGCTCAGTAGAAATCAGTGCTATAAACCACCTAAAGATGTGGCCCTGCAGCACAAAAAAAAAACCTTATTATAAAGCTACAGCAAAGCTCTCAGCAGCAAAAGAGTTGTGAAGGAAGATTTCACAAAGCTTACCAGCTCAGTCCTGCATGTTACAGAGTCAGCACCTTTGTTTTCCCGAGTTTTGGTTAAGATCATCACCATGGTAATGCAGTCCTGCCTCGGAGTCCATCAGGGTCGAGGCGAAGGGCTCCGGCAGCCGCGCTCTGGCAAAGCTCCTCTTTCAGTGCATGTTCCCCTGGGAAAGGCTTGGCTGGATCAGCTCCTCGGGGGATGCACAGGAACAGTCTCTGAGCATGGAAAACTCCCTGTGTGCACAGAGAGAGAGGAACAGCTTTAAGCTTAAAAACACCCCAACAGCAGTTACTCCAGAGGACTATTTATTTTAGACTCTTAAATATTGTTGGTGTTTCTCTGCAGCCCATCAGTGCAGAGGTGTTTTGCAGGACGGGCACTCGCACAAGCTGTTGGAAGCACGTAAGATCCAGAGGGACAGAAGTATTTCAGGGAAGTGAATGAATGAATAAATAAATAAATAAGGTTTCCTCTGAATTCTCCCTTTGAAAAAGGAAACTCCTATCCCCTATATCGAAGACACTGAGGCTTTAATAGAAGGGCTTGTTAAAGCCCCAGGGTTGATCTCATAGAAGCTCTTGCCCCCAGACCAACTGGCAGCAGAGGTTGAGCAGAAAAAGTCCCTCCAGCATCACTAAGGCTGTGAAATGGGTTTAAACTGGAAGAGGGGAGATGGAGATGAGATCTGAGGAAGAAATTCTTTGCTGTGAGGGTGGTCAGACACTGGAACAGGTTGCCCAGAGAAGCTGTGGCTGCTCCTCCCTGGAAGTGTTTAAGGCCAGGTTGGATGAGGCTTTGAGCAACCTGGTCTAGTGGAAGGTGTCCCTGCTGATGGCAGGGGGGTTGGAACTGGATGAGCTTTAAGGTCCCTTCCAACCCAAACCAGTCTGGGAGTCTATGATAAATCCCCTGAATGCTCCTATCCCACCCCAGTTACTCTCTGATTCCCAACCCATGAAGAACTCTTCAGGGAAAAAACAAGGCAAAGAGTTGCCTGTAAGGAAGGAGAGAGCACCCTGCCCTGGAATCCTAAGGGCCACACAATGACTCTTGATCCTGACCTACTTCTTAGGCAGTTTTAGGTAGGAAAAGTTAAAGGCTGCACAATTCAAATTGAACAACAGGCTCATACAGCACCACCCAGACCCGACCACGAGCGGTCACCCAGCTCTGCCTCACCTCCTGGCATCCTCTCCAATAAACTTACTCCTGTTGTAAAAGCAGATGGATTGCAACTCAAATCTGATTATAGAAATCAGTGTTTTCCCCAAATCACTCCTCTAATCCTATTTTGCTATTTTGTTGCCTTGCAGTTCACACAAACAAACAAAACCACCATTTGCACGATCCGAAGAGCACAAAACACTGATCTTGTAACACGCAGTCAAAATTCAATGGCAATGTCTAAGGACAATATTTGAGAATATACCGTTAAGTATTAAACCTCATTATGAACTGATTTCCCAGCTCGTAAATCATCTTTTCCATGTTTACTCGGATTAGAGTTTGCGATGGTGTTATGAGTAGCTCATTTGAAGCCCTGCTGGCTGGTAAAGAAAAATCACCTTCTATTAGTTTGTGAGGATAAAGTTTATCCAGAGTGCAAAGCCAGGATTGGGAATCAATATATTTGCCAAAGATTTACTATTCCCAAGGACAGATGGTACAATCTCCAGCTTCTTATGGGACACAGGTGGGTTTATAATATACAATTTACTGGGCAACCCAATGACCAAATAATCAAATTGAAAAGCAAAGTGTTTTAGACCATCAGACGACACATAATTTGCTGAGCCCAGGTCATATATTGTACTAGGAATAGTCTGGGTTTATACAGGGACAGCAGGACGTAAGGGAGGATGGGGTGGCTGGAGGACCAGTTGACTAACACAGCAACGTGCTCCCATCACCCTGGGGCTGCAAACCCCCTGGTGATGCTGGAGCAGCTCAGACACCTCTGTAACAGCACATGGACCCCCAAGGTTATGCTCAGGAGGCTCCTCGAGCCCTGTGCTGGGGCCAGCTTGGGGACATCAACCTTGATTCTCAGGAGCAAGTAGAAAGTGTCGCTGTGTGGTTGTTAACAAGCTGCATGAGTTTTACATTTCTGCATTTGACAGTCCTTGCATCAAATATATCGGCAGGCAGCAAAACCCAGGGGTCTTGTTCAGGAGGAATGGCTGCTTGCACCAGGCTCTGAACAAACACAAGAGGAAGGGATGCTCCCCAAAAAGCATGTAACAGTGGACAGACAAGGACCAACGGAAGATCACAGAATCCCAGACTGGTGGGGTTGGCAGGGACCTCAGGAGATCATCCAGTCCAACCCCCCTGCCAAAGCAGGTTCC